TTACCCTAACGAGGGCATTGCCAGGATTTATGGAAAGGGGATTCATTGCTTTGCCCCTTCCCTTGGTGTCAGTGGGGACTTCTGTGGAATAAGCACAGAATTCCAGATTCCCTGGCAGAAGCACAGAAGCAGGACCAAACTCAAAGAGAAATGTTCATTTGTCATCAGTTTGGCTGCCTTGCTGTTGGGAATTTTCTGGTACCTTCCTCCTGGCAGCTCCTGTGTGGATTTTGAATTTTGAAAATCTGGAGAAGTATATTTAGTGGGAAGGACTTCCACTTGTCCCTTTTTTTGCCCATCAGACCATCCAGTTTACAGAACTCCCTGCCTTCCTCCAGCTTCAGGCTCAGCAGGACAAACATGAAGCTCCTCAGTATAATTTAATGCCCACACACTGAAGGCCACAAGAGGTGACAAAATCAACTGCCCTTCAGTGGGAAGCACCAAAATTTGCCCATATTGCACCTTTAGAGCCAGGATAATCTGCCTGTGATGGGAGGGAGGGAGGGTGGCTCTTTCCACTCAAAATAAGGAGCAGAGCTGTGAAACAACTGGCTTGGCACTGGGTAAATATCACAGGATATTCAGAGAGCTGAATTTCAGGGTAAGCAAACAAAACAGAACAGACAGTAAAAATAATACAGGGCTCTTTGGAAAAGGTTACAGTGAGCAAAGTAAATGTTCTGTGAGGAGTGTTGTTGGAGGCACTTATTGGACTGTGAATTCAAACAAGTGTGAGGCTGAGGGAGCAGAGAACATCCTGAACTCCTTCCCTCTCAGACTGGACCACTGTGCTCTGGGGTCTCTCCTCAGAACCAGGGAAGCCTCCAGAGGGTGGATGAAGCACTGTCTCCACACAGAGCCAGCAGAGAAGGAGGAGTGGGAATGCTCCTCTTTTTCTGAGCTTTCTACCTGGTGGCTGGGCAGTGGGGAAGGCTGTGGGAATACCTGTCCTGCCACCTTGTCTTGGGTTCTGCAGAGCATCTTCGTAAGGCTTTGAACCCACAGGGAAGGGAGCAGAGTCTGGAGCTGCCCCGGCACAGGGAGGGGGTGCAGCAGTGCCATGGAAGGCAGGTTACTGCACTCGGTGTCCAGATGTTTGGCCACAAATGATTGGAAAACGGGAATGCCAAACCCCGGTATTCATTTCTGGAGCTGTCCTGGTGGAATTGCAGGACATGCACACGCCCCTGCTTGTCCCAGCCACAAGGAGTGATGGTGGGACAAGAGAGGTTGAAATGTTGGATGGGATTGTCTTACCTGCAGGGAGGCAGAATTATTTCTCGGTGACTTGGCCTGTCCCTTGCCCACTTACCCCTGATCTTTCTCCCTCTCCACGTGATGCTCAGCAGTGCTTTCATGCTTTGGGGTGGCCCCAAAGGCCCTGAAGCAGCTTTGGGTGAAACTAGTCTTGGAGGATTCTCTCTGTGAGGCGCTTGGCTACTGCGCTGTCCCCGTGTCCCTGCTGCCCTCCCGTGTCCCCGCTGCCCTCCTGGTGACCCTGTGCCTCTGTGTGTGCTGTGAAGTGCTGCCTGTGGCTGGTGGTACCCGTGGGTTGGCACTCTGCTGAAGTAAAGCCCATCTCAGCCATCTGAGCTCACACCTGCCCCTCGATTCAGCGCTCGATCCCCCATCCCACGAGTCCTCCTGCCCGCCGTTCCTCTTATATCCAATTAACCATTTTTCTCCTCGCCCCTTTCTCTCGCTGACCCTGCCCACGGTGGGTGCCAGGCAGTGGGGCAGGGGCAGCCCTGCCCTCACCCTGCTCCGTGTGCCTCCCTCTGCCTTGCAGCCCATCCCGGACACGAGTCCCATGAAACGCTCCGTGTCCACGCTGGCCCCGCAGCGCCCTCATGCCATGCACCTCTACGAGTACTCCCTGGAGAGGATGCCCCCGGAGCAGGGGCACCACCACCACCACCACCGCTGCCACCGCAGGAAAGAGAAGAAGCAGAAGTCCCTGGACAGGGCCGCCCATCACTTGGCCGATGGACAGGCTGGTGAGTGTCTCCTGGCTTTGTGAGTGATCCCATGGGCCTCGTTGCACGGGAATTTAGGGAGTGAAAGCAATGGGTTTGGGAATGAAGAAGCAATTAGTGACTCTCAGTGTAGTCTCCCGAGGTTTTTTGGGAGCCTGTGAGTGCCCTGTTACCCTAACGAGGGCATTGCCAGGATTTATGGAAAGGGGATTCATTGCTTTGCCACTTCCCGTAGTGTCAGTGGGGACTTCTGTCCCTAGAATAAGGCAGAAAGATGATCAAACCCAAAGAGAAGTGTTCATTTTTCATCAATTAACCCAAAGAGAAATGTTCATTTGTCACCACTTCGGCTGCCTTGTTGTTGGGCATTTTCTGTTACCTTCCTCCTGGCAGCTCCTATATGGAGTTTAGAAGTCTGGAGAAGTGTTTTTAGTGGGAAGGACTTGACACTTTTTTTGCCCATCCAGTCTGCAGAACTCCCTGCCTTCCTCCAGTGTCAGGCTCAGCAGGACACACATGAAGCTCCTCAGTATAGTTTAATGCCCACACAGTGAGGGCCACAGGAGGTGACAAAAGCAGCACAACAGGGTCCTGTTGATGGAGCTGGTGCAGCCCCCAGGGAGGCACCAGTGCCTGAGGTCAGACCTCACCGGGGTCTGCAGCTTCCTCAGGAGGGGCAGCTCTGATCTCTTCTCCCTGTGAGCAGGGACAGCACCCAGGGAATGGCTGGAGCTGTGTCAGGGCAGGGTCAGGTTGGATCTCAGGGAAAGGTTCTTCCCCCAGCGGGTGGTTGGGCACTGCCCAGGCTCCCCAGGGACAGGGGGGGATTGTTGGGGTGAACTGTGCAGGGCCAAGAGTTGATGGATCTCTTCCAGCTCAAGATCTTACTGTTCCAAACTGAAGGCTGTGCTGGGCTCCCCCACCCCACCGTTGTGCCTCTGACAAACTTTCCAACTCCTCTACTAACACGAAGCTCCTCAGTGTAATTTAATGCCAACACAGTGAGGGGCCACTTGTCCTCCTCCCTGCACCGGCTGGCAGGTGGGATTGGGGGTCCTGCCTGAACTCAAGGACCTCCCTGCACACACCCAGGAGCCCCTCACGCTGGTGACCCCTAACCAACGTTCTTCTTTCAGCAGCCCAGGCCGCTGAGTCTTCTGGCAAGGACAAGAAGGAGCGTGGGCGGTCCCAGGAGAGGAAGCAGCACTCCTCCTCCTCCTCCGAGAAGCAGCGCTTCTACTCCTGCGACCGCTACGGCAGCCGGGAGCGCTCCCAGCCCAAGTCTGCTGAGCAGAGCAGGCCCACCTCCCCCAACGGGGGGCCAGAGCAAGGTCCACACAGACAGGTGAGGAGAGGCAGGGTGGGACAGCAGCCCTGAGGTCTCCCAGGGCTTTGTTTGTGCACCTTTTCTGTGTTTTGCTTAAATGAACAGAGATGGAACGGGGAGGGAAGGCCAGGCAGGGGTGGATTGGGGTCTCCATTGGGGTCCTGCTTGGTGCAGGGGAGGCCAGGCAGGGGTGGATTGGGGTCTCCATCGGGGTCCTGCTTGGTGCTTCACACCTAAAACAGGCATGGAAATGTCACTTGAGCGGCGGCCACCCACACAGTGAGGGACTTGAGGCTTCTCAGAGACAGAATCACAGAATGTGCCGAGGTGGAAGGGACCCAAAATATCATCGAGTCCGACTCCTGGCCCTGCACTGGACCATCCCCAAGAGTCACACCGTGTGCCCAAGGCCCCACTGCCAAGGGCATCCTTGCTAACACAACACAGCAGGCTGGGGGACCCCACAATTGCCAGCTCTTGTCTTGGCACTTCAGAATGTTTCAGCAGGAAGTGGTTTGTTGGACGTTTTGAACAAAGACCTCGCCATTTTTTTACTATTGAGACCATTTCCTCGATAAAAAAAAAGTTTGAAAATGCCTTAAAAAAAATTTAGGCAGCTCAGTACTTATCAAAACAATGTGGAATCACATCAAGGTTGGAAAAGCCCTCCCAGACCATCAAGTCCAAGCTGTGCCCGATGCCCACCTTGTCCCCCAGCCCAGAGCACTGAGTGCCACATCCAGTCCTCCCCTGGACACCTCCAGGGATGGGGACTCCACCACCTCCCTGGGCAGCCCCTTCCAGTGCTTAACAACCCTCTCCATGAGGAAATTCCTCCTGATGTTCAAACTGAACCTCCCCTGGCACAACTTGAGGGCATTCCTTCTGCTGTCCC